ATGAGGATGATGATGATGATGATGATTAGTAAGGTGATGTGAATGAGGAGGATGATGATGATGATGATTAGTAAGGTGATGTGAATGAGGATGATGATGATTAGTAAGGTGATGTGAATGAGGATGAAGGTTTAAGTCTTCCTGAGTTTCAGAATAAAAGTCTGAAACAATTCTGATGTGAACAAAGTTCGGCCCATTTGTTCCTCGGTTCTGATGAGTTCAGTTTATCTGCAGAGGTCAAAGGTCGCCTGAGGCGGACCTTAGGTCCAACAGAACCAGAACATTGAGCCATAAACCAAACTGATGATGCATTTGTGTGTTTCAGTGGACACAACTGTCCGTCTCCAGATCCTCGCAGGAGCAAAGCCAAGAGTGGTGCCAAAGCTCTGTATGGTGAGTTCTGGTTCTGGTTCTGATCCGTGTCCGTTTCTGTGCCGTTAAACGTCTCGTGTGTTTGGATCAACAGAATCAGAAGAGTCCTACTTCCTCCGCTCTTCTTCCAAACAGAAAAAGAAAAGTCAAAGTGAGCCCAGTCTCAGTTTACCGACCCGGTTTGTTTTTAACGGGTCCGGTTTGTGTGGGTTTGATTTAAAATGCTGCGTTTAAAGACCTGTGAAAATCTGGGTCATTCGATTTCTGAAGAATTCTTAGTTTTTATTTATGTTTAAACTCCAGAAGGATCCATGCAGGAAACCCAGAGGACCGAGCTTTCAACCAGTCCTTAAACGCAGCACGTGCTGGTGAATTTGTAAACTGCTGAGAATGATGCAAAGTTTACAGAGTGTCCCTGAAGGCACCAGGTGAGCTCGTTTTCGGCTTGAGGTCCTGTTTTTGGTCCGTTTTATCTTCAGCTGCAGGGGGGCTGTGTGCTGACCGATAACGTCTCAGCAGAACCAGATAAGGTTCTGTTCTCCTGAAGAGAACAAACAGAGCTGACAACAGATCAGTAACGAGCTCTGATTTATGGATGAATGCCTCCCTGAGGACAAACACAGACGTTTATGACCTTTGTTTTCACACTGGAGGTTCAGGTGATTGGTTTAGTTTTAACAGGACTTCAGGAAATGTCCAGGTGGAGATCTGGACCGCCGGTTCTGCTGCAGAGAAACTGCGTTTTTTTAAACTTGAATAACTGAGAACGGCCGGCTCAATGGGTGAACTCTGGGTTACTCTGCGTCAGGCTTACAGCTGTAGACTTGATGTTTCAGCAGAACTTCTTCGTAGGTTCCTCAGACGTTTGACCAATTTGACTCTTTGTCCAGAACACAGGAAACAATTCACCAGAACCAGCATCAACAGCCTGACGGACACGTCCCAGTACCACGTGGAGGTGAGAACTGCCCGTCCCCTCAAAGAAAGTCCATGTTCTTTTCACTGCTGCAGGCGGTTCTGAAGGCACGGAACCAAAGTTATGTTGGGAAACCAGGCAGCGTTACACAACAACAAACATAAATAACAATAATAACAACAACAATAATGTCGCCTCAGGGTTCTGTTAGTCTGTTATGAGGAGGTACAAGGAGGTATGGGGGAGTTATGAGGGAGGTATGAGGAGTTGTGTGGGAGTTATAAGGCGTTATGGGGGAGGTATGGGGAGGTATGAGGAGTTATGGGGGACGTATGAGGAGTTATGGGGGAGGTATGAGGAGTTATGGGGGAGGTATGAGGAGTTATGAGGGAGGTATGAGGAGTTATGAGGAGTGTCAGATAAAACTTGTATAATGAATCTTGGAGACGATGTTGACGGAACAGACTGATCTGAATCACCCAGAACGTGTGACAGTAAAACAAGCGCTGGGTGTTCTGAACAGCCGGGTCTGCTGGACTTCAGAGTCCGGCTCCAAACCCAACCAGCTGGGTCAGACTCGTAGTAAAAACCTGTGTCCCCCTCAGCACCTGACCACGTTCGTGTTGGACCGTAAAGACGGCATGGTCACGGTGGAGGACGGCATCAGACGTCTGCGGCTGCTGGACGCCAAAGGGAAGGTGTGGACTCAGGAGATGCTGCTGCAGGTGGAGGAGAAGACGGTCAGCCTCGTTGACCTGGAGACAACGGTGAGACCAGAACTTTGGATGTGGAGCAGGAACTAGGAGAATGAGGGACCGTGTCCAGTTTGGTCAGTGTTTTGTTTTTCAGAACGAGTTGGAGAACTTCCCCATCACATCCGTCCTGCTCTGCCAGGCCGTGATGAACGCCTGCAGCTACGACTCCATCCTGGTTCTGGTGTGTAAAGACCCCAGCCAGACTAAACCGGACCTGCACCTGTTCCAGTGTGATGACATCAAGGTAAAGGCCCTGGATCAGCCCACTGAGCCGCCCAGAACCAGGTGACGAGGAACAGATCCGCTGTAAGGCAGTTAAAGGCTCGGTCTGAGGAGAAGCTTTTAAAACGCGTCATGAAGAAATACTGAAGGGGTTTTCACGTTACGTCTTTTGTCAGTCCAGCAGTGTGTTACAGATCACGGTCCTCGACTACCACTCCAAATTTTAGGTCAGTATTTTAAAAAGTGGCTGAATTTGAGTCTTTTGCCAAGTTCGCTGTGACGGACATCTTTTTGAATACATAACTTAATGGTCTGTTGGAGTCCTCTCAGCTGCTGCATCACCGAAGTGGTTCATGACGTACCAGAGAGTGTACAGTGGAAACAGGGTTTGAAGCCTTCTCAATGATTTCCTTTTTGAGTTAGCGTTTAGCTAACTGTGTCACCATGCTGACTCAGATGTCCAAGTACTGGCACCCATCTCACAGCTGAGTTACTCAACAAACAGATCCAAGATAAAGTCCAGACTCATTTAGACATGGATAATAAAAGCTGCTGCTCCAATAAGAAAGGACCAAGAACACATCTCTGTGGAACTCCAGTGGCATGAAGGTTTTATTCAGAATGCTTGGACAGATAAAACCATTCAGGTTCTGTTATTTATTAAATTAATAAAAGATGTTCTGACAGGCCAACCTGATCCACGCAGACGTAGAAAGTGCCATGATGGATGCCAAAGGAGGCAAAGTGAAAAAACGACCAGAAACCCTGAAGTAAGAACTCCTCCTCAGAGGCATCCCGTCACCTGATCTCATGCCTGCAGCTGATTGGCTGATCTGTCTGTCTGCAGGATGATCCTGAAGAGTGACAGCATCATCCCGCCTCCCCCAGCCACACCCGCCCCCGAGGTTCCGGCATCGTCCAACCAGGTGGATGCTAAGGGCCGCGTGGCCGCCTGGTCGGCCTGGACCAATGAGCAGCAGCATTGTGAGTGATGTCACAGAGGGGGTGGGGTCACCGGTTCAGAGTGTTGTTTCAGAAGAAAATAGAATTTTTGACGGTTTCAGTTTTTTTAAACATGAAATTACTTAGATTTATGATGACACAAGGAGAAGTTCACCGATGCAGGAAGAAGCTTGTAGTCTTCATCAGTCTGTAACCCCCCCCCCCCCATCAGAGAGGCCTGTTATTCCCCAATCAGTTACAGAAGCACGATCCGTAGTGTACTCCCGGGTCGCACAGATCGCAGTTGTTTATGAATACAAACTGTCTTATTTACTTAGAAAAGTACGTGCTCTGTCTCCACCGATCTTCATGCAGCTGATTTACGCCACTCGTATTTCCGTTACAATCACTGGTTCAGATGATCTGCGACACATTGGACCTGCCCCCCCCCCCCCCCCAGCCTGAATGAGCAAACCCTGCAAGATACAGAATGAATTATATCCATGGTGAAACGGCTCCGCTCAGTGGTGAAGGTCTCTCTTGTAAATGAGTCCTCGAGGCTCAATGGGATCAACTTGTGTAAATAAAGGTTGAATGGAGCTGCAGATCATTTGAACCATGACGTAAACATGACAATGATGTGAACAGAAATACGAGTGGTGTAAATGAGCAACATTAAGAGTCGGAGTTTCTTTGTCATTCGCACCTCGTGTGGTACATGTGGTGGAACAAGATGATGTTCACAGGGTCCCAGTTACATCCAACAATAAAATGTATAAGAAAAACAGTAACAACATCTAAGATATGAACTAAGAAAAACATAAACTAAATGTACACTAAGCACTAGTAGCATAAAAACATTACGTTGAACAGCAGCACGAACATGAGTCTGTGTGAGCAGATGAGCACGAATGAACACAGCAACATGAAACAGATCAGCAGCAACATGGAACAGATCAGCAGCAACATGGAACAGATCAGCAGCAACATGAAACAGATCAGCAGCAACATGAAACGCATCAGCAGCAACATGAAACACATCAGCAGCAACATGAAACACATCAGCAGCAACATGAAACAAATCAGCAGCAACATTGAAACACATCAGCAGCAACATTGAAACAGATCAGCAGCAACATTGAAACAGATCAGCAGCAACTTGGAACAGATCAGCAGCAACTTGGAACAGATCAGCAGCAACATGATGTGATTTTTCACAGTGATTATTCTGGTTAGAGATTCATGAGTCTTAACAGCCTCAGGGTAGAAGCTGTTCCTCAGTCTAGTGGTTCTACACTTAATGCTCCTCAACCTCCTTCCTGAGGGGAGTGGGGCAAAAAGTGTGTGTGCTGGGTGAGTGTGGTCCTTCATGATGCAGGTGGCCCTCTTCCTGCATCTGGAGGTGTAGATGTCTGTGATGGTGGGGAGACTGACTCCAACATCTTCTGTGCAGCCTTCACCACTCTCTGCAAAGCTTTTCTTTCTGCAGCTGTGCAGCCTCCATGCCACACGTTGATGCTGGAGCACAGGATGCTCTCCACTGCACACCTGTAGAAGGAGGTGAGGACTGAGCTTCCAGACCAGCTCGCCTCAGCCGCCTGAGGAAGTAGAGTCTCTGATGAGCTTTCTTCATCAGGCTGGTGGTGTTGTTGCTCCAGCTGAGGTTGTTGTTCAGGTGCACACCCAAGTACTTGTAGCTGGAGACCACTTCCACCACAGATCCTCCTATGTTCTGGGGTGTAGGTGTGTTGGTTTCTTCTGAAGTCCACGATCATCTTTGTCTTCTTCACATTGATGTGAAGGTTATTCTCTCTGCACCAGCTCTCCAGGTGTTCCACCTCCTGCCTGTAGCTGGACTCATCATTGTTTGTGATGCATCCCACCACCACAGTATCATCTGCAAACTTTACAATGTGAATGCCTGGATGGGTAGCTGCACAATCATATGTGAGCAGAGTAAACAGGAGGGGGCTCGGCACACATCCCTGAGGAGAGCCAGTGCTGACGGTTATGGTGGAGGAGGAGAAGTTGTGGATCCTCACTGACTGTGGTCTGTTTGTTAAGAAGTCTAGGATCCAGTTGCAAATGGAGGGGCTTAGTCCTAGTGTGGATAGTTTGTCCATCAGGGTTTGGGGGATCATGGTGTTGAAGGCAGATGTGAAGTCCACAAAGATCATACGGACGTAGGATATGCGGAGATAGAGCTCACACTTTTCTAAGTAAATTAAGACAGTTCTTACTCATAAATGGAATTATACCAGTACATTTTCCTTAATCTAGAATATTCAATGTAGAGCTGTGCGACTCGGAAGTATTTCTTTTAGCACATTTTCCAATGAGCAACATTACGGATCGGGTTCCGCAACAGATTGGGGAACCACAAGGCCTTATCCGCACAGAGTGATGCACAGAGAGTGAGTCACACAGTGATGTGCACAGAGTGATGCACAGAGAGTGATGCGCGCAGAGTGAGTCACACAGTGAGTCACACAGTGATGTGCACAGAGTGATGCACAGAGTGATGCACAGATTGATGCACAGAGTGATGCGCGCAGAGTGATGCACAGAGAGTGAGTCACACAGTGACGCGCGCAGAGTGAGTCACACAGTGAGTCACACAGTGATGTGCACAGATTGATGCACAGATTGATGCACAGAGTGATGTACAGAGAGTGATGCTGGAGATTGGGCAGGATAGTTCCTGGTGTTGATCAGAAACATGTTCTATCATGTGACACCCTAGAGTCTAATCCTGACTCCGCCTCCTCTCACCAAGCACCTCAATACAGGACGTTGTTGGTCATTGCTGATGTCTTTCTGCCTTGGCGTTGTTGTACCACACAGCGATCAGGTGATCAGCAGCTCCTGACTGGAACCAGTTCTGGACTCAGATTGAACTGGTCCTGTGACCGTTTCTGGTCCGTCTTGTGAAGTTCTGGATGTTTGTGTTGCAGACGAACAGCAGGACGACAGGCCGGGGGACATGACGGCGCTGTTAGTGGACCGGGACGTGGTGAGTCTCACATCTGTCTTGTCTGAGGACAGCTGCAGCTCAGTCCAGTTCCAGTTCAGAGCACAGACACTGGTCTCCTTACAGAAGGGGGCGGGCGGAGAACTGGACCGGCTATGATTGTTCAGGTTTAATCCTTAACGTGTCCTGAGACCACCTTGTTGTCCTTCCTGCAGCAAATCCTGAACCACATCCTGGATGACATCGAGTTCTTCATCACCAAACTCCAGAAGGCCGCCGAGGCCTTCAGCGAGCTGTCCAGGAGGAAGAAGGCCAAGAAGGGCAGGAAGAAAGGTCCTGGAGGTGAGACACGCCTGAGACATGTCTGTCACACACCTGAGACACATCTGAGACACATCTGAGCTGCAGAACCACCTGAAAGGTGTGTGTCAGGTGTGTGTGTGTGTGTGTCAGGTGTGTGTGTGTTTGTTTTTGTTTTTTATATTTGAACCGGTTAGTTTTCCAGTTTTATGTTTGTGGCACCGTTTGTCCTCCGTACGGTGAGTCTGTGGACAGATCTCTGTCCTCCTGGGGTCTCCAGCAGGTTCTGTTTGAAGACCTGAGACCAGATGATGGAGGTCGGTTCTGTGACCTCTGACGGCACAGAACCGACCTCCATCATCTGGTCTGAAGACCAAACCTGCTGGAGACCCCAGGAGAGCGTGGCTCACATGATCAGGCTGTTTGTGCTTGGTGTTCTGAGGAGAACGTCTTTGTTTGTGTCCACCAGAGGGCGTCCTGTCTCTGAGGTCCAAAGCCCCCGGTGAGGACGAGTTCGTGGACTGTCTTCAGAAGTTCAAGCACGCCTTCAACCAGCTGGTAGCTCCTCCTCTAACGTTCTGTCGGTTCTCTGCTGAGAACTGCTTTTGTTCATGCGTCGTTTGCTCAGCAGAACTTTGGAGATGTTTGATCATGGACAGAAACACCGTAGATCTGAATCGTCCTCAGAAACCGAGGACTGAGCAGAAACCGGGTTCTGTTTCAATTTGTGGGTCTCGTTCTTAAGAACCTGCAGAACCTGATGTTTGTGTTCTGAACCGCAGGCCAAGCTGAAGGATCACATTCAGAACCCCAGCGCCGTGGATCTGGTCCACTTCCTGTTCACGCCACTCAGAATGGTAGGTCCTGTCTCCTGAGCAGGAAGTGACATCATCATCCAACTTCTAGAATGTCACTTCTGCTGATGGAGAAAGTTCTTGTACCAGAACAACTGATGGAGCCTGAAAGCTAAAAATAAAGCAGATATGATGGATTTCAAGAAGAAAAGCAGAGTTCAGAGGAGAACATCTTGTTCCTTCTCCTCCTCAGGTGGTCCAGGCATCTGGCGGTACCGATCTGGCTCGGAGCGTCTTGGTTCCTCTGCTCACCCAGGACGCCATCGAGTTCCTCCACGCCTCAGGAACGGTGGAGGAACGCCACCTGTGGGTGACTCTCGGAGATGGGTGGACCAAATGCAGGTGAGAACGTGAGGGAACATCTGGTTCTGTTCATGTTCTTCACATTCTGTTCTCAGCGTGTCATCGTAAAGTTTGGTTCTCAAATGGGTCTTAGGTTTTGGTTTGGTTCTGGTCCTGTTTTTGACTTGCTCTTTTCATGTTCTCACAACGTTGTCTTTGTGTTCTCATGTTGTTCTTATGATCTTTTGATGTTCTCACATTATTCTCTTTAGTTTCTTATGTTTTTCGTATGATCTCATGATGATCTCATGATGTTCTCACGTTGTTCTCATGATGTTTTCATGTTTTTAGTATGTTCTCATGATGTTCTCATGATCTCATGATGTTCATGTTTTTCTTATGATGTTCTCATGTTTTTGTATGACGTTCTCATGATGCTCTCATGATGTTCTCATGTTTTTTGTATGATCTCATGATATTCTCATGATGTTCTCATGTTGTTCTCATGATGTTCATGTTTTTGTATGATGTTCTCATGATGTTCTCATGATGTTCTCATGTTTTTCGTATGATCTCATGATGTTCTCAAGTTGTTCTCATGATGTTCTCATGATGTTCTCATGAAGTTATCATGTTTTTCGTATGATGTTTTCATGATTTTCTCATGTTGTTCTCATAATGTTCTCCTCGTCTTCTCCAGGCTTGAGTGGCCAAAGGACCACTACTTCCCTCCCTGTTTGTTGCGGTTCCGTGACGGATGGGAACCTCCCGTGTTCTCTGCCGTGGCTGCGAGTCGTGAACAGGAAGTGATGCAGCTGGCTGAACGCCTCGCCGGCCCTGAGGTCCAGAGAACAGAGGACCTGTGGCGGACTCAGGAGGTCCGTGAGACGCCTGCAGGACCCCAAGAACCCACCGACGAGAACGGGTCATTTACACGTGTGTTCTGTACGTTCTGTGCCGGCAGCAGTTGGCGGTGCCGAGGTTCCCTCCAGCTGACGGGTACGCCTCCTCCAGCTCCTCCCACAAACGCCTCCAGGTTCTGGATCAGGACACGGCCGTGGCGGCGTTTAAACACGCCTTCAGCCGCCGTGTGGACCGGTAACTCACAGGTCACATGACGCCCCGGAGAACCGACCCCACCGCTCTGTGTTCTGTCAGAACCGGCGCTTGGTGGAACCCTCTTCATCAGTTTCTTACTTCAGTTTGAGTTTTATTTCGTACTTTGTTCTTTGAACCGGAGCGAACGCCTGAAACGATTCAAAGAGAACGGTGAAATTGTTGAGGAGCTCGTCCTGACTCGAGCGTTTCTTCTTCCACGGAGACGAAACGTTCGATCTGTTCTTTTCTGATCTTCAACCTGTCGGTGTTTACGTCTGATTTTTAACGGTGGCTCGTTTCTCCTCGGCTCTAAATTTACATTCTGCACTTTTTTCAAATTAATGGTAGAAATTATGGAGCTCTGATGCCAAAACCAAAGATTTGAAACTAGCTCCATTTCGATTAAATTTTGCAACAGTTTGGATATGACCTTTGACCCTTACCACACTGATGTTGCTTCTGAGGTCATTGCTGATGTCTTTCTGCCTTGGTGTGGAGCTAACGGCCTGAATGAGCCTCTCCCAGTTTGATTCTGTGCACGATCAGAGTATTTCTGTGATAACTGATCCTTCGGCTTGTTGTGTTTCAGAGGTTTTGATGCCGACAGATTTCTTTTTGCCAAATCGAAGTTCGACTTTGTGGCGAGAAACGGCATAGAGCTGTCGGTTCTTAAAGACGAGCTCGTCGAGGTAAAAGGACATTAAGAAGAAAAAATATATTTTCTGCTCAAATGTTACTGACAGTTACTGAAAGCAGCAAAAGGCTAGCTAAAAGCTAACGGTACCATGAGTAGACAACAGATCCAGAAGCTGAAGCACGTTTCAAAGCGAGCGATGCCTTTGACTCAAGGATCTCGGCCTTTTAACCAAAAAACAGCTGCTCTTCATTAAACCCTGAGTTTCGTCTGTCAGGTGCTTGACGACAGGAAGCAGTGGTGGAAGGTTCGGAACGGCTGCGGAGCGTCCGGCTACGTGCCAAACAACATCCTGGAGGTCACCAAAGCTGTGGACACAAACCGAGGAGAACCGGTCTACAGCCACACCATCCAGGTACCCACACGGACCGCACCTTCATCACCACACTCATCCTCACGCCACCTCATCTCCTTTCATGTTCTGTTTCTCATCACTGAAGCTCATGATGCCAAAGAAGGAGTTTGAGTTGTTCAAGGTAGGACGAGTCAGGCTGTGTGCTGTCTGCTTCCTGCCCTGTAGTTTCCACTTCCTGTTTGCTGTGGATCTTCTTAAAGGAACAGTCCAACAGTCTGGGAACATGTGGTACCACCAAGTCTCTTTAACTCTGCCGGTTCAGGACTCGTGGGTCTGGTGGTCTCAGTTCAATTCAGTTTATTTATAAAGCGCCAAATCACAACCAAGTTGTCTCAGGGACTTTACAGGAACATTCACATAAAAAAAACAATTAGTAAAGTTCTCTATCTAAGAATCCAGCAGACAAGATGAATCTTGGCTTCGTTGCAGTCTCCCATCCTGAGCAAGCACAGTGGAGACAGTGGGAAGGAAAACTCCCTTTAACAGGAAGAAACCTCCAGCAGAACCAGGATCAGGACAAGAGACCATCTGCTTTGACCGGCTGGTTGAGAGGACAGGAAGGAGAGACAGACAAACACAGAATGGTAGGTCCAGGTATAGGTCCAGGCCCAGATATAGGTCCAGATATAGGTCCAGGTCCAGGTATAGGTCCAGGTATAGGTCCAGGTATAGGTCCAGGTATAGGTCCAGGTATAGGTCCAGGTATAGGTCCAGGTATAGGTCCAGGTCCAGATATAGGTCCAGGTCTAGGTGCAGGTCCAGGTATAGGTCCAGGTATAGGTCCAGGTCCAGATATAGGTCCAGGTGTATCTGAAAGACAAAAACATGTTAAGGATAGAAAAAATAATTACA